TTTGCCGTCAGCATTCAGCAAATACGCATTTATATAATTTAAACAAATCTTTGAATGAATAATGAACATTTAATTTCACAAACCTTGCAAACTTAGTCGAATCCAGCTGTGAGATCGTGTGAAGTGTGCATTTGTATCCTGCATGATCGGTGTTCTCTGTGTGACGGTCGGTCCGTGCAAATTGTATGCTGACAGGAGGAGAGTTCAGCTTCACTGAAGACGTGCGATCGTAAACTCGTGATTTCTAATTATGCTGCGCTTCATGCTTTTGCTGAAGTGTGCATGTGTATCCTGCATGACCGCGTGTTCTCTGTGTGACGATCGGTCCGTGCGAATTGAATGCTGACAGGAGGAGAGTTCAGCTTCACTGAGACGCGCGATCGACAAACTTTAAACTCGTGATTTTAAATTATGCTTTAAATTTTGCCCGCTGTCATATTCATGTCATTTTCACTGTGTGGTGTATGTAAAATGAGTGTTACCTTGGCTTTATTTGAAAAAATATGATTCCCAATGCACACAAACTTCCCAGAATACTGAGTGCCCTGTTGGTTACAGTGTTTACTTCCTTTTTAATTATACTTTTATTAAATATTTATTTATTTGTGAAAAATACTTTGTCATCTAAAGTATAAGTATGTTTATTTTACACATTTATTTTTAATCCATTTTCAAATTGTTTCAAATTTCTTGAATATTAATTAAAATAAATTTATATGGCCACCGGCCACCCTGCTTTCCAAGATATCGGCATCGGCTGTCAAAAAACACATATCGGTCGACCACTAGCCATCATGCCTTGATTGTACATTATCAGTTGATAAAAGCACCACCTATTGGTTAGAAAGTCATAAAAATCGTTTTAAATGTTCTAATACAGTAATACAATTATTAATTTTTGCAAGCTTCACTTTTTTTAAATCCAGTCTTCATCTGTTTGCTTAATTGTCTTCACCTAAATGAAAAACAAATCTCTCCATAACAAATCTGCTGGTTAAGATGGCAAGCAAGCATTGAGGCTATATCTTGTGAAGTTTTTGTGAGCCGACAAACTTTTTATGTATCATTGTCACAATGCCCTGAGAATATGAAATAAATTTGGCTAAAATGTCTAAAATTTTGAATAAGTTAATTAGCATGTCTTTTTCTTCATTTACTGCTGGGCTGTGATCATATAAAGTGGCCAATAATTGCATTTTGCCATTTGCAAGTTGTATTTTGGTATATTTGATTTGCCCATCCAGACCGGTCATGATTAGTGATTATTCTCCCATAAGATTTTTTTTATCAACAAAAGCAGTTGTTTTCTATATTTGTAACATGTTCTTGACATTGAAACTTACTTAATGTAGGGGAATGCAATGAGAAATGATGATTCTAAAATTGAAAATTGTAAGTTTTTTAAATCACTTATGGAAAATGTACATGTAAAACTAACCCACATTCCATTTCATCACATGGACAATGAAAATGTGTTCATAATTTAATCTTGTCATTAAAAACTGAATTTTATGCCCTTAAACCTATGTAGCATCACCATATAAGCAGCTCTATTTCATGTAATTTCAAAACCAAACTACACTGGGGCATGTTTTAAGTCAAAAGTTTTAAAAGACGTTGCTGCAGCACAATACATGCTATTTAATAATAATAATGAAACATAAATAAAACTAAATCATTGGTTTGTTTTGCAGCAAGAACATCAGAAATCTGTTATACCAAACAGAGATCAGACTTTCAGAATTTTTTTTTTTTTACAAAATATGACACATGAAGAGAGCAAGAGATCCAGTTCAAATGAAATCCCGAGAATCAAGGCAGCAATATTTTGTGAACATGTATGAAGATTTAGTATAAGGCACAATTAAGACATAAAATAAGACTCATTCTTGAATTGACAAATGTATATGATTTTTCATGATACATTCAACAGAATGGCCGTTGAACTGCAGCTCAAACAGTATCAATTAAAAAAAAAAAACACTAATGTTATTATGGTTGTTATTCTAAGACCCCTTCAGTTATACTGTAGTATATTACCTCATATTCTTAACAGTTTTGTTCTGAAAAATATAAGATGATGAAAGACTTGGATATGATCACACATTCCTTAGAAAATGTAGTGGTATTGTTAGTGCACATTATTACATTGGTTAACCACTGGAACCAATCAACCTTACCCATACAGGAAAAGGAGACTGCATCAAAATGACATTATGACATGTGTTATTACAGATCGGTTAGTCTGCATGCTTCAGGTCATAATTCTGTTCCTTCAAAAGTACGACATCAACTGTGTGTACACGGAGAAAACATCATTGAAGTCAGAGCCACAACATCAACCACTACCTGAACTGCTGCACACGAGAAAAAGAAACACAGAAACATTGATATTGAACATTCTTTTCTTGAGAGGTGGGTAAATTAACATTTCTTTTTATTTATTTTTCAAATTTGTAAAATGTACATAAATTATATTTGACGCATAACCGCCGAATGAGTAATTCAGTGAACCTCTTTGCAAAGGGAAGGAACATAAGTTAAGAGATAAAGGGAAAAAAAATAATGACAGCACAAGGCATTCCTTGTTGAGATAATTTTCAAACAAACATTGGTCAGACATTTTTCTCCAGCTGGGAAAGCAATGTGCTACTGAAGAGAGGTCATCACACACCTTCATCATTAGAATCATCCCATGTATGTATTTGTAGGGAAATTAAGGATACATATTCATTGCCCCTTACCCAAAGGCCTTCACACCCCATCGTTTCATTCCAGTAACCCCCAACCCTCCCACGTCAAGAGGAACAGAGACGAAACGGGCACATTTATGACGTGAACGTTCACAAAAAGTGCAGACAGGATAGATAACTGCTATGTGTTCGCTTCACCTGGGTGAAACTTTCATTAAAACTGGTTTCTATTCCAGATACAGACCTTTTTTTTTAAGTGCAGATAAAGACCTTTTAAAGAAATAAACGTGGAATTCAGCCACATGCTTTTCAAATATTAATCATATATTTAATTGATATACATATATTGCCAACATTGGCACGTTCAATATTGCACACAGTAATGAAATATAGCACTGGGAAGAGAAAGAAAAAAATCAAACGTTGTGAAGCAAAGTTTCCAAAATGACAGATTACGTGAAGCAACACTGAAAAGTTAGAGGAAAGGGGGAAAAAATCCTGGCCACACCCCTCGACTAAGCTTTTGGTCTGTGACAGTGACACGCTACTGCCAAACTACAGAGAGGCTTCAGTGCGGAAGTTTACCTCATACCAAAGGAGTTTGTTTAGAAGCACTAAACATCCTTTTGTCTGGCATGTAGCATCTAATACATTTTCGTCAAGGTGAGGAAAAATGCCTACGTGATTTCTGAGTCACTCTTTGTGATCAGATTTGCTTTTGGGCCGAACAGACCACGAGTTATGCAATAGCATATGGGAGGGCCAGGGCCAAACAAAACCAGACGAGAAAAAGAAAGGGGAAAAGAAAAAAAAGAAAAATGAACAAGAACCCAAACTTAGATCCAAAGCCCCAGCCAGTGTATAAGCATGCGGAGTCTGTAAGGCACCAGGTTGTTTAATGCTGAAGAGTATGCTCCCCAACAAGTTTCATTAGGGTCAGGGTCTCCCAACACAGGTCCTCAAGGGCCCCCATGGAAAAAAGACTTTCGTTTCAAAAGACTTGTCATTGATGTCTGATCAAACAGTCAAAAGAGTTGATATATTATCTTAGTATGTACACGTACTTCTCGGACAACTCATTCCTTAAAAGAAAAACAAGTATTAATTCAACAACCTGACCAAACATTACTGATGTTATGGACATTGGAACCATTACAGAGATGAGTCCTTGAGGACGAACATTGAGAAATCCACCTCAATGTGGCTGTGTACAGGTTAACATGCAGCTACAGCATTCCTTGGCGCCACTCATCCTCTCATTGGTAGACTGATAATATATATATATATATATTTCTATATATTTCGTTTTAAACCCTTTAACAGATTGTTTGTCAAATCCCCCACTAAAAACGTGGGTTGTTTTCTTCTCCACTGAAATACATCTGATTCACAAAATCATACTTTGTATGTTTTTCTACATGAGCGTTTTCATACGTTTCTGTGTATGTTTGTATCGAGGGGTCCGGTTTCATTACAAAAAGGTTTTCGAGAGCTCATTCTCTTCTGTTGTCATTGCTTTTACTTAAGTACCTTTTTTTTTAATACACTGTGCATGACAACGAGACACAAATACATAGCATATCATCTGCAGGACAAGAACTTTAATTAAAAAAATACACTGGTAATACTACTCAGAATGTTTGAGAAGAGGTCGCCCACCGCCTCTGGACGCTTGCACACAGCGACCACTCGCTCTGCTGACCCCTGTACCTCTGTCAATCAACAGGTTGATATTTTCCCCTCCCATCAGGGTTCCTATCTAGCCCTCAGGTGATGCTTGGAATATCTAGTGGCATGGCTACCATGACAACCTCTTCAGATGATTCGAAAATTTGGTTTTAAAAAAACTAAAACATCTGATTTGTGCTGAAGTCATTAGCTCACACGTAAAGGAACCGCTTCCTTGTAATCTCGGCAATAACTCCATTGCAAACACTTTTTATAATATCTTGGAACGTGTACAAAAGTTCTCGGTTAATAAGGGGAAAAGAAACACTCAGTTCTGTTGTCGTCAAGTAGGAAACACAGTTCATATATAATGTTATTACTTGGTTTAGCAGCCGCTTACTGTATTAATGGTGGGTAAGTGGATGACATCCAGCGATGGGTGGACTGTCAGTCTGTGGAGGTTTGTATTTTTTGTGGGTAGTGCTCCTTTGGAGTTAAACAGTTACTTATCTTTTATGTATCTCTCTCTCTTTTTTTACAGCAAAGTACGTAGAATTTATTTTTAGGTTATTCGGATTATTTTTTGTATGTTTCTCTCCACTATCAATCCTCTTCCCCGTCGTCTCCGTGCATCTCCTCTTGTTGCTGCTGCTGAAGCTCGCATGCCCTTTTTTCCCGCTGCTTCTCTTGAATCTTTTTCATTTCGTCTGCGTATTTACAGAAAGTGCTGCCGAATTTCGACCACACTTTGTAGGGCACTGTGATAGAGTTGCGATAGGTGGGCTTGACTTCGCTTACCCTCATGAACACCCCGTACTTATTGGAGCCCACGTCAAAGAAAAAGCGCTTGTTGTCCACAGTTAACGAGGTTCCCTCAGGCAGCTCCGCCGGCTCGTCATCCACTCCGTAGTCGTCGATGAGTTTGGCAAGCGCGTCGCGAAACTCGATAAGTCCCTGGGCTGGAAGAGCGATGGTCTGGCCTTGCGTGGATCCCAAGCCGGGCCCCCGGTTGACGGTCTGCCGGATCCTCAGAAAGCGGCCCCTCTGGTTCTCCTTCAGATCCATGTAGTACTTCCGATTCTCCCGCACCAGAAACTCGCTCTTCAGCGCCCGCCGCGGCTCGTCCTGCGCTATGTCCGGATTGCTCGGCCCTAACTGGGCATAGTGCTCGATGAAGTCCCCCAGGTAGTCGCGGAACTCGACAGCCACAGACATGGAGAGAGTGAGGCGGCTCTTGTTTCCCCCGGCCCCGACTTCTGCTATCTTCAAGAAGCGGCCTTTCGCGTTCTGCTTTACGTCTAGATAGAAGCGTTTGTTCTGGATGTCAACCCGCTTCGAGGCGAGCTCCTGCGTCTCGTGCTGCAGCCCAGAAGCCGAGCCCGCCCCTCCTGTCACTGGGTGCATGGAACCGACACCCGGGCCCGTGGCTGCTCCTCCCTGCTCACTTCCACTGTCTCTGTCCGCCATGATGCTGCCTGCCTTCTCCCTCTGTCTTACTGCAAGCCTACTGCCAAGCAGCCACGCCACTGCTCTCGCGAGATCTGGGTGAGGAGAGAAAACGAGCGCTGTTCAGACCTGTGCAGAATCCGAATAAATTCTTCGTATAGAAGGTCTAACACTGCAGCCGCGCTCTCTAATAGCACATTATGTCTGTCCTGGAAGATGACGATAAATTCAATTCAAAGCGAAAGTAAAAATATCAAATGATTGCGTAATGATTGTGCTGCCTTCACCGCGTATCTTAATATAGAATATTTTTCACTCCTGTCAACGTATTTTAGTCTAGGCTATATGTAGTCGTTACTTAAGCCATTTGCTTAAGTTTCGTTGTCCTTTAAGTTCTTATATCCATGTTTAAAGCTTAAAAAAACAATTATTAAACAGTGGTTAAAATGGTACGGGAGATTAAATGTTGCCGAAAACAGAAAAAAAAAAGTTTTCTATATGCGAAGTGATAGAAATTGATATAAATCTTAATGATATCGCTCACGCATCCCGCTGGTATTTAGCCTACGAATATTTAATAAGAAATTTTGCTAAATTTAATAAACGTTTCGGAGCAGACCGGTTGTGTTTGGTTAGGCTTTCATTTAGTTTATCCTTCACTTCGGCTTTTTTTGTCATAGCAAAAATAAAAATAGTTTATTGGAAATATATTTTTTGCAGATGCATTCGTATTGATGCACTGATGCAAATTGCATTAAATGGCTATGATTTTGAGCTAATAAATAGCTCAATTCAGTATTTGATTCCTTCAGCTTTTAAGGTGGTTGAATTTTATTTGGGTATAGAGGCGTGAGTTATTACATATTATTCAATTTTCTGTAGGTTTATGTTACGCACTTATCTAGGCTATGCGAGTTATTTTCATCCAGTAGCCTATTATTTAGCATACGTTGCTGTATGCATTTATACCAGATGCAACTTATTCATTATAATCAACTACATACCCAAATATTTGTTGTTTTGTAGTTGTTCAACCTTTATCATCGAAAAAAATCTCCCTGTAAAAAATAAGCAATTAACGGAGGTTTCTAATTAAATCAAGCCTCAGCGTCGCCTGCATGTAAGAATTAAGGAAGTTTGCATGTCTGAAAAGGCTTTTGTGATATTGTACTCAAGGCCTGTTTGAAGAAAATGATGAAGGCCTAACAGTTGAATTTTAGGATTAATATATATGTTTTCAAATGTACATTGATACAGTTGTGATGGATGCTTTCTTACCAAAGCGGTTAAGAGTAATATGTGTTGTATGACCGTTTCATATAAGCAGGAGAATATATCTCGACGTACTAAAACTAAACGTGGCGTGCATATTATAAGAACACTGACGCAGTTCGTCTCAATATAGCTGTAGCGTTTCTCAGATATTATATATTACAAAATACAAAATATTTATTTCGTAAGCATAGGCAAATGAGTAATGGGTTTCTGGTATTTGTATATTTATTTAAAAAATACTAGATTAAACGAGTAAAATAGGCTAATATAATTTACTAAAATATGTAAAATGCATAGCCATAATGTTAATCAAATCTACATGCTTTTGTTTCTTTCTATTTTCTTTGTCAATCCGCACAAAAACCATATGATTAATTAAAAAATGTTTGGCAATGTTATACAAAATTAAAAGATGATTTATTGGTTTATAAACATGCTTTTCAAAGCAAACTGTTTTATAAATGTAGAAATGCCTCACTTTGATTTCGATTTGTATTAGTTATTAGATTATTTGCGTGTTTTCCTGTAGTTTTAGAAATATTGCCCATATTTAAACCCACAGGTAGGCTATTTTACAAAAACATTAAAACAAAAATCATTGGATAATTGCAGTAATGTTTAGAATTAATTTTCTTTAACTTTATTGAACTGCTATGTAATTTAATTGAAATTGTAAGCATTAACCCTGGAAAATAAACGTTTATTATTTTTTTCACGAATCCAAGAATTGATTCTCTCTAATCATTTAGTTTAGAAAACATTTAAATAATTTAGCAGCGTGTTCTTTAACAATTAGTACAATTGTGGAAGACGTATCGGATTTGATAAGCAAAACGCATTTTTCAGAGGCGGGATTGCACATTGAAATATTCTGATGCATCTAATCGTACCTTTTTACTTTCATAAATGAGCTGTGGACGTAAAAAAAATAACACCTCGTCATTAATAAACAATCTTGCCCATTAATGTTATTTTAATCTTAAAGTTTCAACTATAATACCAATGCAAGCTATAAAAGAAAGAACAAAAAGTTCAAATATAAAAATCCCCTAACTCAAAAGTCTGCAGTAACGTAGATTAAAATTAGATATATAGAATTTATCTCCTTTTAAATGCGTATAATTTAGATAAATATGTTCACTGATTTATGCCTTGAAATAGGCCTATATATTCAGCATCCATATTATTACAACGGTAGGCTACTATAATAATAAATGTTCAATTGAGAGAGCCTCGACATGTTTTCCATGCATTTTTCCATGCATTTTAGTGTGTTTGTATCTTTGTGCGAGAGGTAATAAACAGGAAAAAGGCATATGCATGCAATTTTCCTCAGTCCTCAGATTAAGCAATGAAGGAACACGCAGCGTTTATGCACGCCTTGGAACAGAAACACTGAAAATGACTGAAATTCAGAAATGCAATGATTAGATGGAATGAACATAAATTACCAGACCATTTATTTGTTCAGTGTTTAATGATTCTCTAAAGACCGAGCACACGTCGAATACAAACAGCATTCATAAACATCGGGCCTGTATAGTTATGAAAAAGTTTTCAAATGTATTCAATTGCTTACACGTATCAAGTCTATTCAAGCATATGCTTTAATAAATACACATTTATTAAAGTCTAGTCTATTCTAGCATATATTTTTAATAAATCAAGTGCATGTCTTTAATTGAAGAGATTTTAATATAGGCTATAATAAATTAAATATATAATAAATAAATGCATTTAAACAATGTTTGCATTCCAGGCAAGTGTCTAAGATAAGTGATTTTCTTCCTGATTAAAAAAAAAAGGTATAATAATAATAGGCTAATTATATTACCTCGGGCTAAACATAAAATATTAGTGGTCCCTAACTTTGTGTGGCCTGTTGCTTGCTAGAATGAAGAATGTCTTAACTGGTTATTCTTAATTGTTGCTTAACATTTGGTCATTTGAAACTTCTAATGCACGTGTAAACTCCTTGACATGGGCCTAACACAAGTGACAGTGCGTAAAAAAAGACACTGAGTGAAGGAAAGAGGGACCGTCGACTCCAATTCATGATCGTCACTTAAAGGTGTGCTTGCTTTTGGTTTAAGGTGAACTCTGTAAGCTTGAACTCATAACGGTATGTCACAGTCACACTATGGCACACTGGATTTGCCGCAACAGACAGACAGAGTCTGACAGCCTCGCTGTCTGTCAGCACTGGAAACAGTTAACGAGTTTGCGCAAGCAGTCTGTGATATCTGCCCACGGCTGCGAACATTAATTCCGTGGTTGTTATACTGACAAAAAACAAGTATACCGCGGAATACCATGGCATATGATCGTAAAGTGCAGTGCTGTTGCCAAAGTCGCAGACCTCCATAACGAGCGACGTGGTTCGGCATATCTTACCCCGCTCAGTCTGTAGGCAGAGCGTTAGCCCCTGTGCAAGCCCTTCGCAGTTCAACTGTCAAAAACAAAGATGAAAACCTGTAAGCCCCGAAGGCCTACTGTAAACACTGTCGCGGTGCTGCTTCACCGATGCGCAGTTCACAAGATGGAAAGAAAGAGCGAGTCGTGGCATGGAGACGGACGCACGCACGAGCTCAACGTGGAGTCTGATGTCAGCACGCTCAGCTGGGGAAACGCAAACAGCTCTTGCGCCTCGCACTGTTGCTTTCGAGCTATTGCAGCTGGACGTGCTGTTTTAGCTGTTTTGATATTGCAGAATACTTCACATACATCTCATATGAAATTTATTCCGAGTATTTGGCGTGCTGGAAGCTGCAAATGTCGTAGAATCTAAAACTAGAGTCACGATCACCTTTTTTCTGGGTTGTTAAATTAGCCTAAGTGTGCATGCGAAAGTAATATGCACATGTGTTTTATTATCTTCCTTTATATGTCACAGTGGTTATAAAAACAATAAATAATCAAATAAAAATGTATTGGTTCTATCATGTAACTTTATCATGTGAGTTCTATCAAAGTGGGTTGTTTTAAATAACCCTGAAGTATGCCTACTTCACTTGTCTAGTCAACCTATGTTATCTAGAATTAATTTGCTGAAAAACGTATGAATGTAACCTGATGAAGTTTTTAAATCTTCTAAGTCAACTCAGTATTTTTTTTTTTGGGGGGGGGGTATTTTCATATCATCTGATATGAACAAATGGTTTATAGAGATAGGATCACGTGTAGCCTAAACGTGTAATGGTGTCACGTGTACACGTGGACTGTGTCATGACTTAATTTTCGGATTAATTTAAAGTGGTTGTACCGTATAAAGAATCATTTCGTTAAACTCATATTTTACTTTGTAGTTCAGTGTAGTTTGGTCGGTGGGAGGTCGAGGGCAGCGCTGTTTCAGAACCATGGACAGTAACCGCCGAGTCCTGTCCCGCCACTGCGTTTCTAATGATCGATCAGTTTTGAGTTTTGTTTTTAGCGAGTTGGTGTAGTGTGCCTGTGTAAACTACAAGTAATAAAGAAACTTGTAATCCACCTCCACATTTCTGAACCACTAACGTGAAAATCAAGAAGTGTTTAGGCATTGATTTCATTCCACAAAAAGGGTGCGTTTATGTCGAACTTTTGTTATGTTGAGCTTTTAACATGCGATATTATAGCCTAGGTATTTTCTTAACACATCAACTAAAAATAACATTTTCGTCATCTTTCGCTGTTTTTGTATTAGACTGAATAATTATATATAGCAATAAAGGCATTTATTATATTTTTATATTATTTTTATATTTGCGTTTTTTATTTACTTATTATATATTTTATATATTATTACATTTTATTAAAAGTTTTAAATGAATGTAATGAAAATATTTATTAATTAAATACTTTCTTTCAAGATAACCCTTTAAGGACAAGTGTTTCCTCTTTTAAATTCCTTTATACATGTTACATATACACATTTCGTACATTTTTATAGCAATTATATGTTTATTAGAATGTAGATGTAGACAGTGAAGTCGTTCATTGGTAGTTTGTTTGTTCACAGTGCATTAACTAATGTTAACAAACACAACTTTTGATTTTAATAATGCTTTAGTAAATGTTGAAGTTAACATTAATAAATGCTGCAAAAGTATTGTTCATTCATAGTTCATGTTAACTACACTAGTTAACTAATGATAATTAATGAACCTTATTGTGAAGTGTTACCATTTATATAAATGTATCTGTATAGCCTACAATAAAGCCACAATACCAACTATCAATAGGACGTTTCCGGCAGACAGCAAACAGTTTTATTGATCACTGAGAGAGCATTGACTTGGTATGATGTTGGTTCAATATGAAAATGACATTTTAAAAAAATAGCTTAGATGTAGTAAACTACTTTTGTCATGTTGCTGTAGCTTAGCTTGCTACATTTCCCAGGGCTGTAGCTTTGGTGTAGTGAAGCTTCATTTAATGACGAGTAACTGTTAGCTTAGCTCACTACATTTTCCAAGTAGCTTGCCCAACACTGGATTTAAAAACATTGTCATTAATCTCTTTGTAGTGTCATGACGTTGCACATGCTAAATGAGCTGTAAAATTGCCAACCCTTTTATTTTTAAATGCCTATCTATACCACAACGTTATAATTACTAATTTAACTTGATATGGCACAATGAACCACTTCAACACTTAAAGACATTCCTTGTCTAATAGAATGTGTAAAATATATATTTACATTTCATATATCTCTGAAATCACATTTTTAGGCTATTTAGGTCCTGTCAGTTAGGCCATAAACACTATAGCTTGGTTTATTTATTTATTTATTTTTCTTAAGGAAAGCATTCAGCAACCTACAAATAAGCAGTGAAATCTCAGCAAGGGTCAGTTTATGAACTATCACCACTGTGCCTTGTTCAAGACCCCAAGTTACTCCAATTAAGGGACACTAGTCCTGGACTACTGTTTTGTACTGTGTGCTGTTCGTTCATTTAAAATTGAATAAATTAAAACGTCTGAGGGACTACAACTTGCGCTATTTATTACCCATGATTCCCCACAGTCATCTTACAAGTTAGAAAGGTGTTGTGGCTTCCTCTGTGTGCGCACAGAACAGCAGATGTCGCCCTTAGTGAAGTTGTAGCTGCGCTCCTTTGCAGATCCACAGGTTCAGCTTTCGTTTAGTACAGGATTTAGGTTACTTTATGTATCGTTTCTAAACGGTTAAAGTCTAATATTGATATTTATATTCTCCTTTCAAACATCTGATGCGTGCCAAGTATGTCTATAAATGCTTTACCATCTTGTGCACATATTTTGCGTTTGATACAGTCTGTTGCTACATTCGTGATGTTCCTTCATTTCATTTGTTAAAAATGTTCTCATTCGTCCATGCATCAGCAATGCAACGGATTTGATGCAACGCCTCACTATCATTTTTTTTCTCTGAGGCAGAACGGCGAATGTGACCTGAATGCAGGGCATGATTTAGTAATGGAATGAGACGCAAAACTCATTCAAAGCTCATTCATTCGCACTGTTAGCAATCGCGCTCAAAGCAGCGCAAACCTCTGCGGTGCTCTAACGATTTACAAGGAGATTTGAGGCGGGCGCTTCCCTGCACCATACATTTTGGTGTTTTTTTTCTTTCTTTCTTTCTTTCTTTTTATTTATTTATTTTATTTTTTTAATTCGACGAGGATTGGCGATGGGAGAGATCATGGATTGACCATTTTTCTCGGGGTGTCGGAGACTAAAAACGCACACGCCGGCGCATGGGCGTTCGTTTCAGCACCCCAGCCCTGAATCTGCCGTTTGTGCGGGGAATCTTGCCCTGGTAGATTGGGGTGGCGGATAGAGACGGTGCGCGAGGGATACGGCAGCGTTTTGTCGCTACGAAAGTGGATTCTTACAACGTTTGTGCTGAGGGGATATCGAAAGTAGCCCTAATAGTTTACTGCAGCATTTCACATTCGACTGCAGTGGAGGATACACAGCAGCCAGTGGCGAGTAGGGCGCGCTCACCACTGCAATTTCGGGGCAAAGATTGACTGGCGGCGTCTTGCGGATACCTGGAGGAGGAGGCAGCGTCCACGACTTTCCCTGCATTTTACGATGCGCTTCGGAAGAATGCAGTTGAGGGATCTGTGTTAACCCAGCAGCATTACGCCGTTTCCGGTTCCCAGTTGGTGTTTCCCGATTGCAAATCTATCGGAAAAAAGCAGTGGATCCCGATGGCATGGACACTTACGCAAGGTCTGCCGCGCCGCCGTGCTACTGGAGCCTATTCGCAGTTTCTTCAGCCTTCAACCCAGCTCCACCGCCATCGCCCCGCAGCCCTGCCGCAACGCGACCACCGACCATCGAGCCAAAGCAGGCGGCATGAGGAGGCTTGATTCGGTACACTTATCCATGCTGCTCATCGGGGTCTCCTTCGCCTGCTACTCCCCCAGTCTGAATTCCCTGCAGGACCAGGCTTACAGATCCGCCGTGGTGATTGAGGGCAAGGTGCAGTCCGCGCCTCAGAACGTCTCAGCAGAGCTGTACAGTGTGAATGTCAAAGTCCTGGACTTGTGGCCGCGAAACAGCGGGGGTCTGGAGCGGGAGCAGCTCGTCACCGTGGGGGAATTTGGCTCGGAGGCTCCGTGCGCCAAAGTGAAGAAGAATCACAAGTATATATTTTTCATGGACCCAACTGATGAGCCCTTGGTTTTTAAAGCGTCGTTTGCGCCCTTAGATACAAGTGGGAAAAACCTGAAAAAAGATGTTGGGAGGATCTTGTGTGAAGACTGCGGTAAGTTTATGCCCACAAAATGCTTGTGCAGGGGCTTGCAAATTGACATTGGCCGTCGGCTTAGGTTGTATGCTTATGTGTGGTGCGGATGACATCCAAATGTTTGATTTAAGTAACAGATGGGGGCTTGTGGGGGCGTCTCTGCAGCAATATTGGGCAGGAATAAAACGCTTAAAGGTTTTTCGTGGTATCGTCAGACATATGCAAAGACACATGCTTAGGCACACACGCGCTCGCTGCTCATTTGTAGGATACCAAATTCTTTCCTCAAGACAATTGTAATAAACTAGCAGTGTTCATGGCGGATCCATCAGACAGGGCCCAGAGCTTTTATGTTCGGATATGAAAAGGTATAAAAGATCAGAATGACTCAGAATATTTTCAACCGTTGCCGTCAGGACCTAAAGCTCATTGCTCTGTTGGGAATAGAAAGTTGCTGGTCTGCGCTTGTGTAATGGGCCTTCAGAACAACTGCACTGGGAGTGGAGCCTTTGAAACTCCACTCAGGACGCGGGGAATATCTTCCAGCCAAGAGTTATGTCACCTGTTTGCACACCGCATTTTTATGACCTTTGTATAATAAGAAATTGGATTGATCCCATCGTTTTTTCATGACGGCATGTTCCTCGAAAGCACATTTTAACCTTCAGTTATTGGCTACTTTTGATTCAAAGCGGCAACTCAATTCCCACTCTCGCAATTGCAAAGAAAAAATGACACTGCATCTTTTTCTTAGTATTGTGATATAACTAGAAGTTGGTACCATTCTGTCAGTGAATGAGTTTCAGGTAATCGTGTTTTCCACAGGCCTACTGTCAGAGGGC